CTGGAACTCGCTTTGGAGACCAGGCTGGCCTCGAACTCACAAAGATCCGCCTGCCTCTGCCTCCCGAGTGCTGGGATTAAAGGCGTGCGCCACCACCGCCCAGCCTGGAAGCTCCTTTTAACTTTATTTAAGATACTAATTTTTGGCTGTATCTATTGCAAATATTTTCCCCTAGTTTACACTTTACAGAATATACTTAGTGAGGAAGTCTCCGAATAACATTAGAGGAGAGGCAGAAGTAAAAGTGCCAACAACCCCACTGCACTATCTTTGGTTGATGATAGTTTTTCTATTTTAAATTTTTATTATTATTATTTTATTTATTTATTTTGGTTTCTTGAGACAGGGTTTCTCTGTGTGTAACCCTGGCTGTCCTGGAACTCGCTCTGTAGAGTAGGCTGCCCTCGAACTCACAGAGATCCGCCTGCCTCTGCCTCCCAAGTGCTGGGTTAATTTTTATTATTTTTAATTCTGTGTGTGTCTATCTGCATGTAGGTGTGTCCACATGAGTGCAGAGCCTGCCTAAGTCAGCTGTGTTAGATCCTCTTGGAGTTAGAGTTCTAAGCTTAGATGTGGGTGCTGAAAACCAAATTTGGGTCCTCTGGAAGAATAGCAAGTGCTTGTAACTGTTGAGCCACCTCCCCAGCCCCTCTTTGGTCTATGTTCTTACTTAGACTGCCTGAAACTTGGGTCTTTGCTAGAGGACATTTGCCTTTAGCTTCAGCTAGGATGCAGGCCTGAGATCACTGAAACCCAAGATCCTGATGCTCAGAGTTCCTCACTGGTCTCCTTTTGGTCCTGGCTTTGCTGAAACTCTTCAATGCCTAAGGCCCATCAGGAGAGTGTAAGAATTCAGTGCTATAATACTCTGTGGCTTTTTTTTTTTTTTAAACGACTTTTACTCACCAGAGGGTCTGAGTCCAGGGAGCTTGGGGTGCTGTCTTTGACTGTCCTGTCCTCTGGAGGCGAGGCAATGCTGTGAGGACCCACAGAGGGTGGGGGCAAGTGGTAGAGCTTTGATTGGTCCTGCTGGGCTGATGGCCAGGGAAGAGTGTCCCGGACCCACTCCACTGGATCTTCCCAAGCAGCTTTCTGTCCATGAACCTGGAAAAGAAAAGTGTGACCAGTAAGTGGGACCACAACAGATTAGAAGCTTACTTATGTTAGCTATTCTGTTTTACAAAAAAATATAGTCCCCGGAAATACATACTTCCCCAAACATAAAGACTTGAAGTTTTGATTTATGTAGCTTAGCTTCTCAAGAAAGAAAACAAGTTGGTATAAATTGCTAGAATAATTGAGGATAATTTAGTATATTGTCTTAAAAGGTTGTTTAGAGACAAGGTCTCACTATATAGCAATTGCTAGCCTGGAACTCTTTATATAGACATACTGGCCTTGAACTCACAGAGATCATCCATCTCTGCCTCCAAACTGCAAGTTCTGGGATTAAAGGTATGTGTCACCATAGTGCTTAGCTAATTTTCTTTTAAAACAGTCCCACTGTTTGGATCTGGCTGTCCTGGCGCTTACTATGTAGCCCAGGCTGGCCCCAAACTCACAGCATCCCTTCCACAGCTTCCTGAGATTACAGTCCTGGGCCACGTGCCCAGTTAAACCTTAACGTTTGTTTATAATTAATTAAAAATGTTAACTATGTAGTACCGACGGGCCTCAAATTTCTGACACTCCCACCTTATCCACATATCCAAGTGCTAGAGTTGTAAGACATGTGACACACTGTGGCCTAGACTGACTATTTATTATTTATTGTGGATCTGAGAACTGAGACTGGGGATTCAAGCATAGTAGGCAAGTGATCTACCACTGAGCTATATTTCCAGTTCTATATTTGTTTATTTTGAATTTAAAAATAAAAATTGCATTAAAGATAGGCGATGAGGAAGGCTATAATGCAGGCAAAGGACACATGAGTCATGAGAGAAGATAGAAAGCTATGGTTCTTTTCTAGTTTCAACTCTGCCATAGCTGTGGCTGCTTTTTGCACCTGTGGCAGAGAAGTGAATAAAAAGTAATCAATAGTAAAATGTAACAGCCTGGGTGAGGCTCCACGGCTTCAGCATAACCGTTCTGACTGTATAGCCGTCCACTGAGATGGACAGACTTTGAGACAGGGCAGGTGTTTCAGTGGTTCCTTAATCTAGCTCTGTGACGTCTTCATTTTAAAATAACAAAAACTTGTCTACATTTATAAAGTACAGTATATTTAAAACATGTATCAGTGGTGGAATGGTTAAATCAAGCTGATGATCTAGACATATGAAGTCGTATCTTTTTTGTGGTGAGAACGCTTCAGCCTGCTTTCTTTAAAATACACTGTTATTGACCATAGTTACCATGTTATACACTATATCTCCTCAACCATCCCCTCTGTCTGAATGAAACTTTGTATCCTCTGGCTGCTATCTACTCAGCCACCATGGCTTCAGCCCTTGGTGACCCCCCTTCTCTGCGTCTGTGTGTTCCACTTCTGTGAACTCCACTTGGAAGTGAGAACATGCATTATTATTATTCTCTTTATCCTTGGCTACTTCACTTAATGTAATGTTCTATAGGTTCATCTACGCTGTTTCAAATGACCTATATCCATATCCATATTGCCTTGTGTGTATATGCATATCACATTTTCATTATCTACTTATCCATGAAGGGTACACTAAAACCATGTACAAATTTTATGACCCTACAATTATACTTTCCAGGGAGGAATTCTTCAATTTTAGTCATATATAATATCCTTTAATATTTAAAAAATTTTTGAGAAGCTGGGCGGTGGTGGCGCACACCTTTAATCCCAGCACTCAGGAGGCAAAGTAAGGTGGATCTCTGAGTTCAAGGCCAGCTTGGGCTACAGAGTGAGTTCTAGGAAAGGCACCAAAGCTACACAGAGAAACCCTGTTTTGAAAAAACAACAACAAAAATTTATCTTTTAAATTTAATTTAAATCTATTAATAATACTGCAAAATTTTCCTCAAAAATACAAATTTATAAATGAAATAATGATTTATGGTATTGGTTTGATAGACAACACCTTTAGAGATTTAATAGATCACCATTAATATTTATCTCAACAAAATTACTTTTATGGGTGATATATTACTGATAAAGACTGGATATTGAATCATGGTATTTTAGTGCTGGAATGGACTTCAGTAATCATTATGCTTTAATTTACAGGTGATAAAATTTATCTCATTTTATAATAGGTTCTAAATAGCTACTTCTTGAGAGAATACATACAAGGAGCCAAAAGGTCATTTCAATGTTCTCAGTATCATTAATCTCTAGGGAAATGCCAATCAAAATCACAGTTAGTTAAGAGCTTACCCCAATAAGAGTGGTGATTTCCCTAAAAGGCTACATATAACAAATGTGGAGGAAATAGAACCCTATACACTATTTGTGGGAATGTAAATTAATACGCCCCTGATGGAAATCAGGATGAAGATTCCTCCAACAATCTAAATCTGCTATAGGACCCACCAATCTTTCTACTAGGTAGATAGTCAGAAGAAATGAGGCCACTATTTTGAAGGGGCATCTTTTCTCCCATGTACGTCCAGCACCAACGTAGCCAAGTGTCTATCGACTGATGATGGATAAAGGAACTCTGGCCTACATACACAGTGGAATATGATTTGGCCATGAAAGATCTGAAATCTTGTCATTTGCAACAGCCTGGTTGCAAGTGTGGAAATACGCCGCACAGAGAAAGGTAAGTATCATCTGGTCACAGTCCTAGGGAGCGTATAAAAATCGATCTCACAGATATTTAAGGAGCACGGTGGTGGTCAGCGGCTGGGGAGACCAGGAAGGGGAAACCGGGGCAAGGTTGATCAATGGGTAGCAAGTTCTAGTTGGATAGCAATAAGAAGCCTGAGTAGAGTCGGAGGGTGAGGCTCACCTTGATGCCATCCTTGGCTCCTTCCTGTAGATAGGGAATGATGGAATTGTTCCACAGGTCAATGAACCAGGTCCGGAAGTCCTCGACGCCAATGGGACAGGACAGAAAGAAGCAAGGGCCTGGGGACAACAGCGCAGCCATGAAAAAGCCTGAGCACTCTGGTCTGCCCCACTCTGCTTCTTTTACTTCCTAGTCCAGGGCACAGGGGTGTGACATCCAAAGCTTTAGAGGAGATCTGGAGTTGTTCCAGAGCCAGGGTGCCAACTGTCTGGCAAACCATAACGTTTACAAGGTGGGAGTGAGACAAGGAGGAAAGCAAGCCTCTCACATCTCAATTCCCTCCTGCACGGCTTCTCTCCCTTTACCAACTAATTGTGAGGAGAGAACGAGGGGAAGGGTAGCTTTACTTTTTAACCTGGTGCCTTGCACATGTTAAGTAAGCGCTCTACCACCGAACTATGCCCTTAGCACATTTATTTTATTTAAATTATTTCATTTTATTTTATGTGCATTGGTATGAAGGTGTCAGATCCCCTGGAACTGGAGTTAGAGACAGTTGTGAGCTGCCACGTGGGTGCTGGGAATTGAACCTGGGTCCTCTGGAGGAGCAGACAGTGCTCTTAACCAATGAACCATCTTTCCAGCCCCAGCATATTTATTTAATTAACCTGTCTATTTATTTTTAACAATGGGGAGGTTTCAGTATGTTGCTCAGGCTGGCCTTGAACTTGTAGTTGGTTCAAGCAATTCTCCTGTTATCTCAAGTGATTTATCCAATTCATAGCGCTACTGCATTGGAAAGGCTTATTAAATACTTAAGGGGTTCAACTCCAGCAAGCAAAGAGAGCCTCCCTCCAGGGGGTAAGAGACAAGAAGGGAAACAGTTTCCAGTCCCCGGGGGAAGCTGGAGCCCAGTACCGATGAGGAAGTCCGAGGTGCTGTGCTTCTCAAGGAAGGTGTGGAGGTGATACCACAGCTTGGGCACCCAGTCCAGCACCCGGAGCAGCTCTTCCTTGTTAGCATTGATGTCACTGTCCGACTCGACCAACTTCCTCCGCAGGTACCGGACCAGAAAGCCATTGGCCGGCTCCACATTGTTAGAGAAGGTCAGCATCCTGCCACCAGGGATAGGAAGAGCAGGGTCGGAGCGTCAGAGGGGACACTGCCTGGCTTTGTCCCTTGCCAGTCCGGGCCCTCTTCCTGCCTGTCTCCCGTTAATGCCCACTGGACTACTTCTCACATGACAGGAGGTAATGATGGCAGTGTGGATGGGCACAGCTGATGACCAACTCTGACCTCCTCAATGACTGGCTGGCCTCACAGAGTGACCAGGAAGAAAGTCCTTAGGACGGCAGCCAGCCAGGGTCTCTCCTCGGCTTTGTTCCTTCCCTGTCCTCAAAGCCCTCCTCTCCCACCCTGTAACGGACATGCAGAAACAGCGACTTCCCCCTCCAAGCCTACAGGGCTCTGCCTCGTCTCTCCTGCTACTGACTGCTCCTCCGCCCACAAGTTCAGGATCTAATTATTATTTTTTACAGGCACCTGGGTAAGGCCAGAAGGTTCACGAAGGGACATAGTTCTTACCTGAAACTCAAGTGCAAGCCGTGGTTGGGTGTCATTTTTACAGGCTGATTGGTGGTGCCTATGATATAGGGACTGTGGGAAGAAAGGGGGAAGGATTCATTTAGATCCGTCGCAACAAGTACTGTCTCCACGCGCACACAATGGGAAGCCCATAGGTTGGCACTGTCTCCGTGTGCACACAATGGGAAGCTCATAGGTTGGCTGGGGCTGCATTCTTCCCCCTCTTCCCGCTGTTGTAAATGGTCCTGAGCTCACCATTTGTGGTACTTGCAGGTAAGGGCCCCATTCACCAGCTCACTGATGGAGCCTGCTTCACTCAGGTCATCCAACAGGATCACCAAGGGCACATCCCCAATTCCCGTTTCCCGGTCTATCTGGTTGGCCAGGTTGGAGAGGTACAGTTGCAGATCCTGGAATAAAAGAAGACAGTGGGTCTCAGCACTCACGAATCCGCACCCAAGGGACCTTGGCAAGAAGACTTTCAGAGAAGCTTAGTTAATTCCCTATTTCCCTGGGTCCCTTGGTCCCTGTTAGATGTACTTAAACATTGGATTACAGAACCAGACTATCACAGAATGACAGTAGTCCCAGAGGCTCTCAAACATCCATCCATCCATCCATCCATCCATCCATCCATCCATCCATCCATCCACCTACCTATTTATTGAAGTGCTGGGGACTGAACCCAGGGTCTTACATATGCTAGGCAAGCACTCTGTCTCTGAGTTAATCCCCAGTCCCTTTCAAGCAAACCCTTTTGAGCAGCAATCTTAAATCCCATCCCCCCAAAGGAAGGAGAATCTATTCTGAAACGGTGTTGTTTTGAGGTGACGCCACCACCTCCTCAGCTTGGGATAGCTAAGGCTTGTGCCACTCCAAAGTTTTAGGGTACACTCGAGGTCCACCACTGGGGAGACGACATGTAATATTTAACCCTGAACACGTGCCCCCTGTCACCCGTGGTCTGATGGTAATAATGAAAGGCAAGGTAGCGGGAAGAAGATAAAAGAGAATGGATATGACAGACAGCACCGAGTGCAGAGAAAAAGAGGCTGTGTTTCCCTGTCGGTCAATAGGGAAAGAGGAACCGAGGGAGAGGTGAGAGAAAGTATGACGGAGGAACTTATGTGTAAGAGAAGCTAAGAGCAGGCTGTGGCTGGTGGAACAGCCTGCTATCCTAGTTACTTGGGAGACTGAGGCAGGAGGATTGCAAGTTCAGGACAGCCTGGGAAACTGAGGGAGACCCCTGTCTCAAAGGAAAAAGGAAAAAGAGAGCTTGAGGATGTAGCTCGGTTGTAGAGAGCTTGCCTAGCATGCACGAAGGCTTATGCTTAATACTCACCACCGCCACACACACACACACACACACACACACACACACACACACACACACACACACACACACATACGGGCAGGGGAGAGGATGGTAGGTGGACCATCTCAAGGCCAGCCTGGGCTACTACATAGCAAGACCCTGCCTGGAGAGAAAGAAAGGAGAGGAGAGGTGGGGAGAGGTGGAGATGACGAGAAAGGGGATATCAGGAAGAAGGAAGGGGTGGGAAGAACCCTGAAGAAGGGGAAAGATTAAGGCAGAGCTGTGGAAAGGGAAAAGGATGAGGGGCAGGAAGGGGGCAGGAAAAGGCTTGGGGGAGGCCGCGCCCGCACAGATTGGTAGGGGGTCTCAGGAGGCAGCCACCTTGCAAGATTGCTGGTGCATGTTGAAAGTGCTGACGATGCCATCAGTGACCTCCCGGCCCGAGCGCTCCACCAGATACTCAGCCAGCCGGTTGGTCAGGTAGGTCTTGCCCGTGCCACTGGGGCCCGAGAGCACGAGGCGCCGGTGCTTCAGCAGGAGGCTTATGTAGTGCTGCATCATGGGCTTGGGGATGAGCGTCTCGAACACCAGGCTGTCGACACACTTCTCCTTCAGCCCTGCACCCCACCCCGGAAAGAAGCACTGAGTCTTAGCCAGCTCGGAGAATGGCAAGATACCTAAAGAGCCTTTCCTTCATCATCTAGGGGGCCACTGAAGAAAGTCAGAACCACCTGTCTTAAGAGTTCCAGAGGAGTCCCCTCACCCCCAGCTTTGAAAAACCTGGATCTCAATTTTAGGGATACACTTTCACTTAGAATGCGTAGAGATGAAGCCTGAGTTCAGCAAAAACATCAGACTGGGTCTTATCTTTTTTTATTTCCTCTATCACTTAAGCACCTTCACGTTAGGGTTTCTCAATAATCTCTTGTTATATGAATGTATGACGCAGGATTTAATGACCCTCTCCCTGCCTCCATGCCACACTACCTCCCGAAGAGCCAAAGACTGACCTTTGAGGGAGACGGATATGTTATTCACACCCCGGCGGCACGGCGGCATCTCAGGAGGCTCGGCATCCAACACTCGCTTCACATGGCTGAGGCTATAGCCATGGATAGACTCAGTGCTTAGCCCCAGGGTGGAGGCTGGGTCCATTTTAGAAATGTAGTCCTGGTGGAAGAGGCGGGAGACCAAGAAGATCGTGAGCATGCAGCCAAGATGGAACTACAGACGGAAAAGCCACAGGAGACGACAGACAAACACTACAGGCTATGGAAGGAGGTATAACAGGAATAGGGTTTGTGCATTTTCCTATCTTGCCCGCCCCTCCCCAGTAAAGCGTCAGAGGTTCCCAGGATCCTGGTGCCTGGATGACTGACCGCCCCTTGAGAAGATGAGCAACCCGTGTTGAGGGTGAGAATCACTTTACCTTGAACACTTGGAAAACAGCTTCATCCAGCATCTTCCAGTCCACCTTGCCACTGACCTTGCTACATCCCAAGAGGAACTCCTGCTGCTTTAAGTCCTGTAGGGTTAAGGTCGAGGCACGGGACCTCAGTGAAGATGTCACTAGAAAGGGAGACCCCAGAAAGCCTCGGGAGCTGGGTTCTCTAGTTTTGGGAATATTCAGAGCTCTATTTTTTTTTTTTTTGCATAAGTTTGACAGTACATCTCCTGTTTTATGTGACAGCCCCATAAGACCCCCAAAAAGAGGGGTGTGAAGGCAGGAGAATCGGAATTTTAGGTCATCTTCTGATACACAGCAAGTTCAAGGTCAGTTCAAGCTGAATGAGACCCTCCCCCCCCCCCCCCCGATAAAACCATTATGAATTCAAATATTGTGAGTCCAAAGTGCATTCAGTACACACTTAAGCCACGGGAGGACTTGCTGTTTACTCTTATGGTCGTGGGGCAGGCTGGGAGCTGTGGCTCACCGGCACCGTCCAGGGTCTTGAGAGTGTTTCACACTGCCTATTGCTAGCCCAGGGACAGATCAAAACTCAGTGGAGTGCAGTGTCTACTAACCACACATTGCTTTTGGACCAGTGCAAATCTGGGGCCATCTCTATCATGCCGATTCCCACACTGGCCCTTCCTAAAGTCCCTTACCCCTTTGATGATGTGCTGGGGTGGCATCCGTACCACCACCCGAAGGGTCACTTCTTCCTTTGGACCACAGGTGCTGATGCCATCCATGGGTGATAGGTCTGTGAAGGTGGGAAAGGCCTAATTGGTTTTAAGGACTCAGCCTTACATCAAGCTTTGTAGTTACTTTCCTTTCCAATAATGGTACCTTATTTACGACGAAGGAGAGATGGGAGCCCCCAGTCTGAAAAGGCATAGAGCTAAGAACCGCGGTGCTTACTAACGGTGCGATCTTCTTGATTTCAACACCATGGCCTCCTGGCCCAAGGACGCCATGGCGCAGGTGGAGGGACAGAAAAGAGCCCCTTCTCTTTCTACCCAAACAAGCTCTTCTCAAGCAGGTACCTGTATCTGCCAGACTGGGACTGAAGGGATGGCTGAGTGCAAGGCCCAGGGAACGGCGAGGGGACGACAGAGCGGACGATCCAGGGACCTGCCCCGGAGTGGAGCCTGAGGAGGGGCCAGGAGCAACCTTCAGCCGGTCATTCTCTGCTTTCAGCAGGTCCACCTCCAGCTGTGGGCAGAAGAAGAGACAGGGCAGGTGGCAGGGTGGTGTGGATGTCGGACCCCGCTCCCCGCTCCTGCAGCTCTGCCCCGACACTGACCTGCATGTTGTGCATGGTCTCCCGAAGCTGGTCTAGCTGGTGGGCAGAGTTTAGGGCCTCCAACCGGATGTCTGTGAGCTTCATTTCTTTCTCCCATAGTTCAGAGCGGAGCTCCGAGACCTCCTTCTTCTCTGGCTCCTCCTCCTCATTGGCTTGGAACAGTCTAGTGTGGGGGACTGAATGAGCAGGAGCCCTGTAAGGAAGCAAGAGTCAGCCTGGATCCCAGAGAAGTACTGGGTGGCAGGGGATATTAACATGCCTGGCCTATAGTCCTGTTTCCATCTGATGATAGGCACCCAACTGGTATGTCAGGAAGGGTCCCTCTGTGGGTCTCACATGCCCAGGCAAAGTCCAGTAGTATGGTGGCATTTGTCAGGGTCTGTGGCCTTACTGCCAACTGCAGCCAGCAGTTTGCCAGGGTGGCTGGTGGATAGAGTACTTACTCGGTGACCTCAGTGCCCACAGAGGACGAGTTGGAGGACTTGATGGAGGGGGATGCCGTCTCCGTGGAGCCATGCTGTAGTTTGGGGGAGGACGGGGCTGAGGAGTCGGGGGTGGCAATCTCCTCAATATCAGAGTACGAGGAGGCCGACTTGGGACCCTTTTTAATGCTGAAGGCTTTGTTGAAGGAACTCCGAAGCTGGAAGAGAGCAGATTCCGGGGGGAGAGAGACGTCAAGGCTCCACACTGGAGAGGGAGGACGGCTTTAGGGCCAGGTCAGGGACGTGGAGGCAGAGGATTTACTTGTCGTTACACCCACTCTGTGAGCTGTCCCTTGACTGGTGGTACATGGACAGAGGACTTATCTAGAAGTCAGTACTGATCGAAAGAGGAGGATCATTTGGTTTGCTGCCATTACAGGCCAGGGGGACTTAATGAATCCAAGGAGGGATTCATTAATGAATCCACGTGTCCCTTGAGACAGAAAAGACTCCCCAGGTGTCACATGGTACACTTCTCAGCAACCCAGGTTTCCTCCCTTTTTCGTTATTCTAGAGCTTCTCTCTCTGTGGGTCTTAGGATGCCACTTCTGACTTAGGCTCATTCTAAGAGAATCTATTCATCTCTGCACAAATTAATCAGAAACTGACAATGTAGTCCCGTGAAGATCACGAGAAGGAAATGATAGGAAGTTTCATTTTGTATTTCTTGTTCTCAGCACATGGCAGAGCGGTTCAAACAACCAAATGTAAGATCTCTTTCCTCCTTTTTAAAGGACAGGGTCTCATGTAGGCCAGGCTAGCCTTGAGCTCAGTAGGTAGCAGTGGGTGATCTTGAACTCTGGATCCTCTTGCCTCTACCTCCCAAGTGATGGGATCATAGGTATTCACCCCTGTGCCCACCCTTCACCACTGGCTACTATACCAAGTGTCCTAGAGTAAGAGCTCTTTTCTAGCCATTCTTTGGCTACTTGGGGCTCATAATCTGACCATAGCTTGTTTGATTCTGGTGGCGATGAGCTTTGGGGTTAGGGATGTGAGCTAGATATGCAAGCCAAGGACCTGACCCACACCCATTCACATGCCTCCATACAGCATGCACACACGTGCGCGCGCACACACACAGGGGCACAGACATGGGATGGCAGCAAAAGACAGAGAGTAAAGGAGGGGTCAAAGGCTGTAGGGGACAAAGGCAAGCCAGATATTTGGAACAGTAAGTGATGTGGTGGGGGTGGGGCGGCACTGAGTATCTCCTTTCAAGCTGTCTTTCTTAGAACATGTCTGAAGACTGCCGGGAGCTTACAGAGCTAGCCCATGGTGTGTGTGGAACTTCTAGGTAAGACTTGAGGACCAAGCTGACTGGGGGAGATAGGTGAGAGTTTGTGTGCAGGTGGTTAGGATGTATTAACACGGAGCAACCAGGGCTTGAAAGTGCCATAAAGATGTAACAGGAATTTCTAAAGGTCTTGTAATAAAAAACCCGGAGCCAGATATCGGGGTGAAAGCTGAAAGATCAAAGAAGCAGAGTAAGCCACAGCCACCACTTCTTACCTCACCAACTCATCAGCCTGAAAAGGCTTTCTAGCTGAAAGGGGTTCCTCAGCCGAAAAGCCTTTAGTTCCTGTCTCCTCACGCCTTATCTACCTTTCTCTGTCCAGTCACCGCTTCCTGGGATATAAGGCATGTGTGCTTCCCAGTACTGGGATTAAAGGTGTGTGCTACCACTGCCTGGCCTCTATGTTTAATCTAGTGACTTGTTCTGTCCTCTAATCTTCAGGTAAATTTTATTAGTGTACACAATATATCACCACATTTCCCCTTTTGTCTAAAACAATAAACTTCTATTTTTATATAAATAAAATTTAATATCGATTAAATGAATATATAAAAATAAAATTTAATATAGAGTAAGTTAATATATATATACAATTTAATATAGACTAAAATAAAAATTTTATATAGATTAAACATAGAAGCCAGGCAGTGGTAGCACACACCTTTAATCCTAGCACTTGGGAGGCAGAGATCCCTCTGGATCTCTCAGTTCAAAGCCACACTGGACTACATGAGATTGACTCAGTCTAGGAGAGAAAACAGAGCCAGGCAGTGGTGGCACACACACCTTTAATCCCAGGAAGTGATGGCTGGGCAGAGAAAGGTATATAAGGTGTGAGGAGACAGGAACTAAAGCTTTTCAGCAGAAGCGTTCCTTTCAGCTAGAGGCTTTTTTAGCTGGAGCCTTTCAGATGAGGACTCAGAGGATTTCAGTCAGGATTCGTGGAATTGGTGAGGTGAGACGTGGCAGTGGCTTGTTCCTTTGTCACTCTGATCTCTCAGCATCTACCCCAATATCTAGCACTGGGTTTTTTATTTAAAGACCATTTAACATTGGAGTTACATCAAGTTACTTCCTCTGTGGAGAGTTGTTAAGAGTTGAGAGTGGAAAGGTCAGAGCTGACTGATTTGACACTGTGTATCTTAAGGAAGACATCCAGGCTTCCTGAGTTTCAATCCTGTGGCGTTTTCTCGACACTACTCTCTCCCAGGGGTCAGTCTGTCTCTTGTCTGTGTCTCCTTCCCTCTCTAGGGGGAAATCCTGTGAGCACGGTCTTCCTGCAGCAGGAGCCCTCTGCAGTTGGTACACTTCCGTGACAGCAGCGCTCGCTCTCCGTCACCTTCAGTATCCCGACAGTCAGGGCTGCAGGGAGACGGTTCCTACGGTTCCTACAGAGCAGCACTGGCTGCACGGTTCGACCAAACGTATTCAGCAAAGGATTCTCTGCCAGAGATGGGCCGTCTTAGAACTTTCCCAACGCACATACGCTAAGTAGGAAATGCAGCGCCCCTCAGAGGTTTCTGACGACATTATCAGTTTTTAAGGGCCATCCCAGTGGCCTGGTGATCTGTACAACACTCTTTGGGAAAGGCTACTCTGAAGATCCAGATTTAGATGACCAACTGGCCTCTCCATCTGCGTGTACCTGCCCACCGTGTGTGTGTGTGTGTGTGTGTGTGTGTGTGTGTGTGTGTGTGTGTGTGTAGGTCAGAGGACAGCTGTGCAGAGTCAGTTCTCCCCTCCACCTTGGTGTGGGTTCCAGGGTCCAACTCAGGCCTGGAATTCACTGTGTAGGCCGGGCTGCCATTGATTTCATGGCGTTCCTCCTGTCTCAGTCTCCCTAGTGTTGGGGTTTAGGCATACACCATCAGGCTGGAGGCTTCTAACTGACGGGGCAGTGAGCTCAGCTCTCCCCATCCTCCCCATCCTGGTACAATGCTGGGAGACAGAGTTGGGGGGCACGTGACTGCTTTGGACTAGAAACTCTAGGCCACATGTCTGTTTGCCTCTAGTCCCCAAGATGTCCTTGGAAGCTCCATGGCCTTTGGGGTGACAAGTATTCCCTACCCTAGATGAAATAAATCCCTCACCTGTCTCTGGTTCACACTATTCTAAAGCTAATTTTTCAGATAAGCCCGAAGTGGACAGGCCTCTAGAAACTGTGATCCAGATAACCTTTATTGACTCTCTTCCCTTTTAGGATTCTATGGTGAGTGGGACAGAAAAGAAAAGAAAAACAAAAAACCAAAAGCTCATTTTCTGGAGAGCAGGGGCTCCGTGGGTCTACTTTTTATAACAGGCCAATCTTGGAACAGGGGAAGCCGGTGGGCAACAGATTTGGATTGTTAGGATTTCCCGTTTGACCCTTAAGCAGACCACTCCTCTGTCCTCATGAGGGGCAGCGTGGATGGACCATGCAGTGGGGTGAGTTAGGAACCAGGGGCAGTGGGGGTTATGAGTGACTTTTTTTTTTTTAAGAGAAGGTACTTGCTCTGGAAATAGGGAGAGTGTGCAAAGGGAGAGAGAAAGTACAGGGAGAGGAACTGAGTCTCTTACCTCATAAACCTGGAAAAAAATAGGGATTGGAAGTCAGCATTTTGAAGGAAATAAAAGGAAAAAAAATGAAAAGAAAGCAGCAGCAGCAGCAACACTAATCATGCATTTCACACAGCTGTTTTTTCACACAGCTGTTTCTTCACACAGCGGGGGTGGGGTGGGGATGGGGGTGGGGGTGGGGTGCCTGTCTGCCCTAGGTATGGCCAGCCTTCCTCAGCAGGGGACAGGGACAAACCGGCTCACTCTCCCTTTCAGTCAGTCAGACAGTACCCTGCACCTGCCTGAAGGCTTTAGCAAGCTCATCCAGGGTCAGTTCAGAGCTGGGGGGCGGGGGCGGGGGGCGCAACACACACAACAAACCCACCTCAGGTCCAGCCAGAGGCACCTCTCCCAAACCTAAGGCCATGGCCCCCAGGAGCGTCTAGAGTGAGCCACTTGGCTTGTAAATTCTCTCCACAGTGAGAGTGGAGAGCGACAGATAATGTCATTTTCCCCCCTCTGTATATTTTCTCAGCTCCTTCGGTGGCCAAATACATTTGACCTCCTCAGTAGGCCGAGCCCCAGGAAGGCAGACACGGATAAAGACTGCAGAGTGCTGGTGGGTGGGGTAGACAGTGGATGGAGGAATGGGGACCTGGCAGACTTGTTCCCAGCAGAGGTCACACTGACACCTCACTAGAAGGGACTAGCTCTTGGTGGTCCTGAAAGGATCAGTTCCCTGCACTGGGGTAAATGTAACCCGCCGCAGGTCGGCTCTCAAATCTTCACCTACCCAGCTCTTCTTCTTCTTCTTCTTGGCGTCAGCGTCCTTACTGCTGCTGCCGATGCTGGAATGGCTGGTGATGCTGTTGAGGCTGGAGATGCTATCTGAAGAATTCTGTCTCTTGATCCGGAGTTCTATTGGCCAGTACAAGTGGGAAGAACACAGGTAGATTTAGAGGAGACTCGAGGCTTAAGGAGTCTGGCAAGAGGGAGGGGGGACCCACCAGCTTCTAGGTACGGACTACTGATCTGGTGGGTTACTCATCAACGAACACATGCCGAGTTACAGCCAGGCTTCAGCGTAGAAGAAAATGCGAAAGTGAAAAGAGAAACAGTTCCGAGTCTCAGGAAGCTCCCAGCCTAAGTTGGGCATGGAGGGGCCCAGCATTTGGGAGGCTAGAGGACTGTGAGTTCTGTGCTAGCCTGGGTTACACAGCAAGACCCTGTCCAAAACCAAAATAGAACAACAGCAAAGCCGCAACAAGAAAGAATGCCCAGTTTAATATCAGAAGGGTTTAGTACTGAACTCAGATAGACTACACGTGAAAAGGACTTGAAGCTGGCCCTGACACTTTCATGCAGATACAACCTGTGTGTGTGTGTGTGTGTCCCCGTCTCTGTGTCTGTGTGTGTCTGTGCTTTAGCAAAGTCTCACTCTGTATTCCAGGTTGGTCTTGAACTCGTGACAGTCCTCCTGCTTTGCCCCCCAAGTGCTGGGATTACATGTATGAGCCACCACACCTGTTTTTGTTGTTTGTTTTGCTTTATTTTTTTTTGAGACAGGGTCTCATTCTGCAGCACAGGTTGACCTATAACTGACTCTGTAGCCCAGGCTGGCTCTAAACTTATGGCGGTCCTCTTGCCCCGTGCCCTATTATATTTTTATGATCCTCCAGTAACACTTGGCTGCCTTTTGGCTCAAGGTCAAGTATAAGCAGCCTTGTGCCTTGCATTTAACCTGAATGAGCTCCATTTTGTCATCTGGTAGGCAGAAGATTTCAATTCTCTGAGGTCTACAACAGCAAGAAAAAAACAAACCACTCTTCCTTAAAAAGTGGGAAAGGGATAAAAGTCAACAGAGGAGACGTTTACGTACTGAAAGAGCAGAGATATTTCAGATAGGAACACTGAGAAAAGCATTGGGAGCTGAAGAAAGGTAGATGCAGATGCCCTGGGTTCAAGCCCCCTCCTATTAAAAATGAAAAAAAAAAAAAAAAAAAAAGGAGCAAGCATCTGACTAGCATAGGGAGCTTTCAATAGCTGCAAGTCCAATCTATTAAATTAAAAATTACGTCCAAGATACTTTCAATAACAAGAAGGGCTTGGTGGTAGAGTGCGCTCCAACCCCCAGGACTGGGAAGGGGGAGAGGGCTAAAGACATGTCTGTAGCGTCATCCATCTGCAGCAGTCAGGAAATAGTTCACGCATCTTGAGTTTTGTGCCGGGAACACGTGTTGGCTAGTTATAAATAAAACACACCTGGGCACTGCTGGTTAAGCACTCTTTCTAGTGAAGCTACAGGAAGTGCTCCTTAGGAAGTGGCTTCTTGGTCAACATGAACTAAGGTTATGTGAACATTCACAGCAGGAAGCCATCATGCATTCATTTAGCAAACATCTATCTCAAGGGCAAAGCTTACTTGGGAAGTCGGAAATAGTCGAATATCCCAGATATATCACCCGTGATAACGGATCAAATTATTTTCTGTCTTATTCTCCTCATTATAAAATGTATGTGCTTTGAGCCGGGCGGTGGTGGCACACGCCTTTAATCCCAGCACTCGGGAGGCAGAGGCAGGTGGATCTCTGTGAGTTCGAGGCCAGCCTGGGCTACCAAGTGAGTTCCAGGAAAGGCGCAAAGCTACACAGAGAAACCCTGTCTCGAAAAACCAAAAAAAAAAAAAAAAAAAAAAAAAAAAAAAAAAAGTGCTTCGTTAGGTTGTCATCTGGAATAAGTGAATACAGGTAAAAAGCTTAGAAAGGTGTCCACCGTCTGGCAGAACGATTTAGAGGCGGAATCTCAGACACAGGAGGAAATGACGGGAGATGGGACTAACAAGAAAGGCACATTAGAGCAGGAGAGGGCGGGTGCACAGCTCGGCTGTTCTTTTTAAATGTGCATTGTTAGTTTGCCATGGGTGTCCGGTCCCCTGGAACTGGAGCTACAGACAGTTGTGAGCTGCCATGTGAGTGCTGGGAATTGAACCCGGGTCCTCTAGAAGAGCAGTCAGTGCTCTTAACCGCTGAGCCATCTCTCCAGCCCCTCTAAAGGACTGGGGACACATTTTTCCTCTTTTAACCTGCTTTTCTGAAATGTTTCAAACATGAGGGAAAACTTACAGCATAGTAAAATAACACTCAGACGCCCTCTGTCTAATTCAGCCATTGTTAACTTTATTGCATCTGCTCCCTCCCCACTTTCTCACCCAATTTGAAAATAAGTTGCAGATGACATTTTACAGTTAAATGCCTGAAGATATATCTCCTGTGAATATGGATGTTTGCTCACAATAGCATTATCAGACCAAAGAATATTAATCATAATTCCTTTTATCTAATAACCAGCTCATATTTAAACTGGAATGCTTTCTGATCTGAACTGACAATGCAGTTACTCTGGGGGTGGTGGAGCACTCAGAGCCAGCTAGGGAATTACTGCAGTCACCCAGGAGAAGAACAGTGGAGTGCCTGGGCCAGGACAGGTACAGAGAGGGAGTATAATTTGGGATTGCATAGGCACCAGAATGAACTCCCTCCAAGGGCCGAACAGTGAGGAGGAAAACAGGAGTGTTAGATTAACCGCCTGGCGCCTAGGCTGATAATACCTGAGCCGGGAGAAACTGCAGATGGGAAAGGGGTGGGTTGTGTATTTATACAAGGGTGGCGCAGAGGGGTTGCTGCAAGTTTGAAGCTAGTTTGGTCTACATACGGAGTTTGAGGCCAACTAGCTACACAGCAGGGCCTTGTTAAAGAAACAAACAAACACAGAGATACTTGCATGTTCATGCTTACTGCTGCACTATTCACAACAGCCAGGCAATGGAACCAGTCTAGCTGTCCATCAACAGATGAATGAATAAAAGAAATGTGGTACATATATACACAATGGAATTTTATGCAGACAGACATAAGGAAAAAATGAAAGTTTGACATTTACAGAAAAATCGATGCAACCAGAAATAATGTTAAGCAGACTCAGAAAGACAACTATATTTACTTTCATACATAGAATCTAGATTTAATTTTGTGTGTGTGTGTGTGTGTGTGTGTGTGTGTGTGTGTGTGTGTGTGTGTGTGTGTTTAGGTCACAAAACTAGAAATGGACCATAACCAAAATAATCTTGACGAGGACCAAAGTTGGAGGGATCACCCTGTCATATTTTCAAACTAACTGCACAAAGAAGTAATTAAGGAGGTATGGTGCTGGCTAAGAATAGATACAGAACACGGTATTAGGACAGAATCCAGAGATAAAGCCATACATTTACTTATTTATTTTTGTCAATCGACAAAGACAAATTCTAATGTAATTCAGTGGAGAAAATAATCTTCATTAAATGGTACTGGAACAACTGGCTATCCATATGTTAAGAATAAAATTGGGCCTCTATCTCGAAGCATATATATATATATATATATATATATATATATATATATATATATATATATATATATATATATATATGCTTCTACTATATATAATCTTGTAAAAATGAAGCTGACTATGGAACACTTGCCTGTAATCCCAGCAGCTGGGAGGTGGAGGCAGGAGGATCAGGAGTTCAAGGTCATCCTTGGTTACATAGTGGATATGTGAGGCCAGTTTAGGCTGTAGGAAACCCTGTCTCTAAAAAAACCAACAAACAAAAAAAGCAAAAATCTATTAAAAATGAACAGAGACCCGATGTAACTAACATTTGAACTCGAGGCTGGAGAGAGAGCTCAGTGGTTAAGAGCATTGTTCTTGCAGAGGACTGAGATCAATTCCCAGCATCCACATGGGGTGACTCACAACCATAACTCCAATTCCAGAGGATCTGATGCTTCTTCTGACCTCCTCAGTTACTAGGCACACACACTCAGCGCCAGATGTACATGCCATGTGAGTAAAACCTTACACATATAAATAAATGAATCTAAAAATAAAACTTTACAAAAGATCTAAAACTATTTCAGAAGGAAACATGAAAATAACTATAATCTCGGATTAAGGAATGTGTGTGTGTGTGTGTGTGTGTGTGTGTGTGTGTGTGTGTGTGTGTGTTGGGGACGGAACTCAGGGCTTTGGAGATGTTGGTTAAGTGCTCTATTACCAAGCTGCACCCCTGCCCCTCATAGGCACCCACCTTCACTGTCTGCAGCAAAGCATGGCTGACAGCCGAATACCAAGGCTAACCTGCCACAGAGCCCCGGTGGACCTCCACAGCTTCTGACTGTGCCATTTGAACTGTAGGTTGAATCCTCCTTGGAGTGACGAAGTGATGACCAGGTTACATCATGTACATGTGTGTAAACCAACCACACATTTGTGCGATTTTGAAACTGCCTTAAGATTTATTATTTTTTTGCCAACCTTGGAAAAAAAGTAGCACACTTTCTCCTATTTGTGCCTGGATTGTATATGGATGCACAGAAGCGCATACGTACATATGTGACATCACAGAAGCACATACGTAGGTATGTGACATCACAGGAGCACATATGGAGGTATGTGACATCACAGAAGCGCATATGTTGTATGTGACATCACAGAAGCGCATATGTAGGTATGTGACATCACAGAAGCACATATGTACGTATGTGACATCACAGAAGCACATATGTAGGTATGTGACATCACAGAAGCGCATATGTAGGTATGTGACATCACAGAAGCACATATGTACATATGTGACATCACAAGCACATATGTAGGTATGTGACATCACAGAAGCACATATGGAGGTATGTGACATCACAGAAGCACATATGTAGGTATGTGACATCACAGAAGTGCATATGTTGTATGTGACATCACAGAAGCGCCTATGTAGGTATGTGACATCACAGAAGCGCCTATGTAGGTATGTGACATCACAGAAGCACATACGTAGGTATGTGACATCACAGAAGCACATACGTAGGTATGTGACATCACAGAAGCACATACGTAGGTATGTGACATCACAGAAGCACATATGGAGGTATGTGACATCACAGAAGCACATATGTAGGTATGTGACATCACAGAAGCGCATATGTTGTATGTGACATCACAGAAGCGCATATGTAGGTATGTGACATCACAGAAGCGCCTATGTAGGTATGTGACATGATGGTAGAACCTAGACTGTCTAGGGGACCAAGAGGAGAAGCAGGAAGGGTGAGGGTTGAAAAGGAGTGGATAGAGGGGAAATATATTCAACATATGATATGTACTTGCGCAAAATAAAAAATAAGTAGAAATTTAAAAACAAACAAAAAGGAGTGATTTCTAGCTGGACCCGCCGGCACACACCTATAATCCCAGCACTTGGGAGCCGGGGGCAGCAAAGGCTCCATGATGAGGCCCCGTTGAGACTCCTCTGACTGCTGGTCAGCTCTGGTCTAAAGGCCGAGGAGAGGGTAGTAGGCCTGTGGAGATCACAGGTCTCCTCTACTTGCCCTGCTCCTCAGGGGCTATGAGGTCACGCGTCTGGCCCTGATCACTGGACAATCCAGATATCACACTGCAGAGTACCTAACGGCCCTCAGCGTCTGGAAACTGGATATGAAAGTTGGCGTGTTATGGGCCCGTCGTGATCTTTCTTTCCTGTTCTTTTTCAGTTCTGTTCACTCTGTGGCTAATATCCTACCTTTGGGTGTGGCTTCTGAGGCATTCAGTGCTCCCTGGATGACGGCCTGGGCCTCAGAATTCTTTTTCTTCAGGAAGTCTATAGTTTCTCGCAAATCCAGCAGCTCGGTGTCCTAGGAGACATGATAGTTGTACTGTTGTTTGCACAGCAGGATACTTACAGTGAACCGGGCATGGGATGCTACTGCCCTGGGTAGAGAGGGCCAGGGATCTGGGAGTGGTGGACACGGGATCCTGTATCGACAAGCAGGCTGAGAAAATGGCGCCGATGGGGGAGTGGATGAGGTGGCCCTGGCTAGCAGGTTTAGAACTCACCGCCCGGGGCCGCTCACCTTCTCCTCGGCTGTCTCGGCCAGGTGTCGCAAGCGGGACGTCATATTCACCAGGCTCTGCTCGAAAGCAGCCACCAGGTTAGCCTGACACAAACACACAAAGAAGAACTTAGGGGCCATGCGGCTGCGGGGGAGGAAATGGCTGATGGGGAGTACTTTAACAGACGTCCTGTGTCTCAGAGCTGACCAACGCAAACAAAACTCTTGGCGGTTTTAAGTTATCTATTTCCCTGGGCAGACAAGGGTGGAATCAAATAGGTTTGTTTTTTTTTTTTTGAGAGAACTGGCTTCTCCAATAACAGTGTGGAGGGTAGGGCAGGAGCTTCTCGGGAACCTGAGATCTGGTTTCTACCACCTGCCAGAGGTGTCTTATGTGGTAGGAAGGTTTGATGGGAGAGCAGCAGCCTCTGGAATCAGTCTTTAACTGTTTTTGGTTTAACTCCACCATGGAGGGCCAGATCTCCTGGTACCAAATGACCTTCCAGTAGAATCCGTTTGGTTTAGCTCTTCTGCCTCTGCACCTGGCCGACTCTCTATTCTTGTCTCCTCCTGGCTCTGGAGATCGCCTTATTCCCGGCAGGGCTGGAGGGAACCCAGAAGCTGTGCCAACCACTTCAGGGGCATTTCACACTTTGGCCACTAGGTGTCAGGTCTACATTGGCTATTGTAGGAACTTGGGCTCCTCTCGAAGTGCACAGATCCGGTTCTCTGGTGGGGAGGCTGGGGAAAGGTACCCAGCGGTTTGATCTCCGGCTAGCCAACTGGCAGTGAGGGACATAGGAAAAGTGAAGGGACTGAGGTACAGGAGCAGAAAAGGGGCCACTCAAGGATGGACAGTCTCCAGTGAGAACACCAGGGTGACGGTGAGTCTAGCAAGAGGCAGAAGGCTTTGGGCAGGTCCCTGTGACGTCTGCAACACACTCACTGCCTCCTATTATTCCATAATGTGATTTGTCCTCTCTGACCACCAAGCCAAATTTCACCAGTGCCCTTGGAGCCGACAAGGCTGGAGGCAGCAGTATCTTCCATATTTCCCGTAAATCTGTTGAGGCCTGGGCTCCCTAGTAGACATATATCATGATCTAAGCATCTTTCTTTCATAGTCTTTTTTTTTTTTTTTTTTTTTTGAGAGAAGATTTCACTAAGTTACTCAGGCTGGCCTTGAATTCACTCATTCAAACGGGCCTTGAACTTACGACCCTCTTGCTGTAGCCTCTCAAGCATTTGGGATTTCTAGCTGGCCTTGTCAGGCCCAACTCTCACCTTCAACTATTTTTAAAAATTTTTTTAAATGTTATTTGTATGTAGGTGTTTTGCCTTCATGTATATCTGGCACCATGCAGGCCAGAAGAGGGTGCTGGGAATCGAACCCAGGTCCTCTGGAAGAGCAGCCAGTGCTCTTAATCCACTGAGCCACCACCACCCTAGCCCCTATCTTCTGTCTTCTTAATCTCAGCTCCTCTTGTGTACTTCTAACTACACCATCATATGCTGTCACCATATCTCATGGTCCCTGAGAATCTTCTCAAGAGCCTGGAGAGCCCCTGCCTCCTCATACACTTCTGCATGGACTCTCCTCATCCGGGGAACTGGGTTTTCCTCCTTCTTCTCTTCTACCTTTCTTTCCCTACACTGAACCTTACTCTAATCTCAACTTCAGATGAGGGTGCCTGTGAGACACTAGGCCAAGTGGTCCTTCTGCAAAGGTTAGCATCGGAGGTAATACAGTGACCTGCGGTGTCTCTTCCCGGCCGGGATGTGTCATCTTCAACAGCTTGGAGGTCCCATTCGACCTAGCGTAAGTTTGATTCAACATCAGGCATCCTGAGGAGAGCTCTGGAACCTGGCATCACCTCTCCGGCTTGAGGGAAGGGCTCTGACCCTTGGCAAAAATCTACCTCTAGATTCAGAACTCACCAGATCTGGGTGTTTAGTTTGTTCTCTGGTAGCCAAATGGAACTTCCTGTTCTAAGAAAATGCACCCTCTAAATTCACTTTCTGGAACTAGCCCAGCCTTGACAGCACACTATGGCTGACAGGCTGCAGAGTAAATAAATCAGGCATAATGATGTTCTCCGCCTCCCTGGCGCCTCTCCCCTTCAGCATCTCCCAGACATGAGTTTCCTAGGGTGTGCAGGCCATGACCTAGGCCACTGGCCCTGACGGGTGTGGTATAGGATGGTTCTTGTTTCTCTTAGAATTCTTTTGGTCCCAGAGAGTTTGAAGCTTGATCTGAGCTTCAAACAAATCAGTCAGGACAGGACTTATGAACTGAGGATTTGGGGAAAAGAATAAAGACAATAACCAACGTGGTAAGGGAGCTGTTTCTAAAATGTGCTGGAAACATGAAAAATCTTGGTGGATATTCTACCTGATTCCAAGGGCTAGGACCTGGCAGAGGTCCCCAGAGAGGAAGGGAAGACAGGCGGGCAGAAAGTGCTGTGGAAATTGCAGACATGGTTTGTGTGTGTGTGTGTGTGTGTGTGTGTGTGTGTGTGTGTGTGTGTAAACACACTTGGAAAGCTCCTGGAGACCCAGCTCAGCTGTTGTTTACAATTTTGGGAGAAAACGGCTCTTATGATCTCTGCTTGCAGTTTGGTCACAGGGGAGGAACTAGCCACAGTGGAGGTAGATGAGGCAGCCCGATTTCTCCCCATCTCTCAGAACAGAAAAACTAAGGTCAGGTCTGGAGGAAGGTAGTCATTCTAAATGGATATATGGAGGGTGGGTTAAATGCAGAAACGAAGCCTGTTGGGTCCAAAGCTAAAGCTCAGATCGATTCTGCCAGCTGCCTGAGGCAGAGCCAACTGGGAACCACATCGGCAGCTGGAATGGGAGTTCGGCTTTGAACTGGTCTCAGAGTCATCAGACAGAATTCTACTAACCAGGTCTGTTCCTGCTCAGTTATGTGGCATGGATGAAGAGATAAACACACCCGGGGCAGTGGAAAAGGACCCAAGGGCTCATAATTAAAATGCATTGCTATTTTTGTCCATGTCCAATGGCAAGGTTGCTTCTGCCCCTCTGCAGAACCACTGGTCTCCGCTTTCTTTAGGAAGGTCAAAGGTTACCAGATACCAACCAACTCATCCATCCCGACTAATGAAGGTGGGGAAAATGGTTCTTAATGAAGGCTCAGAAAAAGCGAAGGAGGGAGTCCCCAAATCTTCTGTGGTAGAGCTGTGAACAGAACCTGCTCCCTAGAGGTCTAAAGACGGGGCAGTCTTCGTCAGCTCACCTTCCCACATCGCCTGTGTTAACTAGAGCTAGGCCTTACCCTGCTTCAGGTACTCACATTGGCAGAAAGCTGCGATGTCAGGGTGGCCACTTTTTCCTGGGAGGATTCCAGCTCCCTCCGAAGCTTCCGAATTTGCTGTGGAAGGAAGAGAAAGGCAAGCTGTTGATGGTGGAAGAAGTGGAGAGGCTGGAAGGAAAATGGAGCGTGCGGTGGTGGTGTTAACAAGCGGAGACAAAGGCTTTGTACCCTACCTCAGATTGCATCCTCTCCTCAGCCTGAAGAAGCGGGCACAGAGGGAGAGAAAGAGAGAAAAAGCAGCTGGTTACTATGGAGGTGCAGAGGCCAGGCCCAAGTGTCAGGGCGGAAAGAGGAAGAAGCGTGATGGAGAGATGCAGAGAGAGGCGTCCCCTGTCTCTTGGCCCTGGCTCCTCACAGGACTGGCTCGGAGCTACACTCAGGTTTAAATGATAGGCTTCTCTCTGGTGCTTCTCTTTAGCCAAGCTTGTTATTGCCAAAGAGGCTAGAGGATGAGCCCAGGTGGTCTGAAAACAAACTTTGATTTTTAGCAACTTGAGGGAGTAAAGAATTGGGGTCAAAAGAAACCTAAGAGTCAAAGGATATCTAAGAGCCAAGCACTCTGTGTGGTTCCCCACAGAACACATTAATTCTGCACATTACTGGATCTCTCATCTTGGGAACCTACTCATCTTGGGTGCTAAAAACACTCCCCACTTCCCATGGCGGGAAAGAGTGCGGTCACAAGGGGATCCTCACTTTTCAAAGGAGGGGGAAAAAGGAATACCAGAGTTGCTTGGGAATTGGCGGCAAGGCCAGAAAGAACTGAGGGGACCCAAGGCGACTCTCATCTGAGTGCTCCAAGCGCTAGGTGCCTCCCCCGACACCCACTCCCAGGCCCACAAGGTAGAATGCAGAGACAGTCGTTCCCCATCCCCATCCAGTTACCCAACCGAAGGAGGTCTGAGGGGATGTGGGATGGCAGGGGAGGGGGCAGGAGGGGAAGGGACATTAATGGTCTTACTGAGGAGTAGGTGGAAGAGGCACTGGAGGCCAGAGACAGCACCGAGCCATGAACTGAAAGAGAAGGAGGGCACAGAAGGTTAGCGGGAGGCTCCAGGGCCCCGAAGTTCCTGGGAGGAGCCCTAAGGTGAGTTTGGACTGATGCTGGAGGGCATCTGGAGCAAACGGAGAGAACCACACAGGGCACCCCGTTCATATCCCAACAGCCCACAGCAGGCACGTATCCAAGGGCATGGTCCTGAATAGAGACAGCCTCCCCTTTCTTTCATCAATAGTCTCTGGCAGCCTGGGCCTGGTGGTCCCTTGCTCAGCCTGACTGAGGAGCATGGGGGTCCAGAGAGAGGGAAAGGAGATTTTCATGGGTGGTCAGCATCTGCTCGGCTCAGCCAAGAAAGCACTTTAAGTTGCGGAAAGAGGGGAGTTTCTTGTCAGAGCTGCTCAGGACCAATACTCCGATTCTATCTGTGCCTTCTCTTCTTACCCTTGCAGCGCTAGCCTATGAGCCTGGGGACCACGCAGGTGGAAAAAAAAAATGAAGTGGGGAATACTCTGTGATCATTCAACAGAACCCACTGCAAGAACTAACAGAGCTAACACACCATCTATGAGGGATGCATCCTGGGAATAACAAGGGAGGTCTTATGAACCCCACGGCCTGGTCTTCCATTAACACCCAGATTACCGTCAACCATCAGATGGCCAGCCTGGGAGCTAGTCTTTGGAGCACTCTAGAAAGAGGACTGAGATGCCTAGTTGTTTGTATGGATTACAGAGCTACCATTTTGTCCCCGTATCTCTTCTGAGAGACCGTGGGGAAGAAAGACTACGCGTAGAACGAGGAGGACAGAGGCACTAAGGAGTCCCACTTAACCCTTCCAAATCTCAGTTTCCCTTCCCTGGGCCCCAATGGTAGATGCTCCATCCCTAAATCCCAGTGCTAGGTGGTGCCACCCAAGGTTTCTGGGCCCCCAGACCCTTCAGAGTTATGGGACGACAACTGAAATGGCCCAAGTTGATGTCCTGTGAATTATATATGTGTGTGTGTGGCGGAGGTGGTGGCGGCCGTGGCGGCAGTGGAGGTGGATTGGTGGTGGGTGAGGGAACCCAGCAGAGCTGGAATGAGTGTGAACCGCGTTAACATGAAGTCTCACCATCATCCGTGGGGTCTCGGAAGGATCCTGACCGAATCATTCCCTTGGGTCTCTCGGCCAGGGACAGGGTGCTCCCCATTTGGGACCCGCTGTACAGCTCGAAGGCCGCCTCGTGGGTGGGGATGCTGTTGGAGCGGGTGATTCTTGGCGTGGTGGCCGCAGTGGGACTCACTGGAAGGACAGAGGGAAGGGGGAAGGGAGAGGGAAGGGGGAGGCAGGAGAAGAGGCAGGGTCATCAGCTCTCTGAGTCCCATGTGGGGGACAGAGCGGGAGTCATTGAGAGGCAATGGGAGGGAGGGAGGAGAGGAAGGAGCGGTAGGTGGGGCGTGGGGGTGTGCAAGCAGCTGGAGGTCAGGAGTAACCCCTCCTGGGAAGAAGGTTGGGCCCTGACGGAGAAGGACCCCATGGTCTGTAGTCAGGAGCTCCCCTTAATGCTGCCTGCCTTGGAGCTGCTGCTTGGAAGGTTAGGCTGGGGGCCTGGCGGCTTTCCCGAAACCTTCACATCACGAGGATGTGCAGATGGAAATGGGATGCTGTGGTTCGTGAAGACACAACCGGAAGCTGTCTCAGCGGGCACTGAGAACTCAGACCGAGACTCAGATCCAGATGATGAAACGGAACCAGCTACAGAGAAGGGGGACCAGGCTGTGGGATCCAGCGGGCTCCGCTGGCGTGGAAGGGAGTGAGGGCCCCAGTAAGAGCAGTATCACTCTGGGTCTCTTTCACTCAGCTCTCAAACTAGACTATGGCCTCTCTGCCCAGCATCCGCTGAAAGGAAGGTCGGACAGACAGAGCGGATGAAAGTGTCAGCGAGGCTATGGAATCCACAGCTGTGGGATCTGTTGACCACAGAGGCCACCCCCACTTTCCCCTTGTTAAATTGCTGCCTCTGGTGGTTCATATCCATGCGGAGCTTGCCTCTCTGACCTCTGGCCTCCATACAGACCTATGGATGTTTCTCCCTGCCTATAAAGACCTGGGAAGAAGAACTCACACCTCTGTCTTTCCCCTTTGGGACCCCCAAGACGATCATTGTTTGGCTCAGTCCCTCATTCTACAGCACAAATGGCCGTTCTTCTCCTTTGGCCCTCAGTGGAGATAGGCCGGTCCCACCCTGCATCTGATAAGTCCACAGAAGCCAGATGACCCTTCCTTAGGCACAAGTGACTTCCAGTCTTAGTTTCCCTCAAACAGTCACCACGCAGGCCTGTTACAAGTCCTTATTTACAAAAGAACTGCTCTCTTCCACTCCGCTGAAAGGAGAGACGGATTCAGAGATAGAGCAAGCAAACGACAGGTCTGTTCCGGCCTCGTCCTAAAGAGATTCCTATTAAACCAGTCTTGGCATGGTGCTTCCCGGAACCGGGGCTGGTGTGTGTCTGGGCTGGAGCCAGGGCCCCCTCCTGAAGCCTGGATTTCTCCTTCCCGTCTCTGAGTCACACAGCCACTTCCCTCACTCCCAGCTCTCCCTTCTCCACAGGCTTTCAAGAGGGTGTGGTGTGTCTAGGATGGGTCTTAGTCAGCCTGCCTTTAGGGCGAGGATGGCCCCGGCTCAGCCAGAGCAGTTGGTGAATCTGGACTTTCTTTCTTGGAGACAGACCTCATGCTCTGAAATCAACAGCCCTGCTCTGCCTGGAGCTCACCATGCCCACAGGTTGGCATCGCCCTGTAGGCAGCTGCCCCTGGTAGTACTGTGTATAGAGGCCCTGTTTATAGATTTCCCATGTTGTCATTCAGACTCTTTGATACCATCCGGACCCTCAAGCTTGTGCCCAGCGGGCAACTTTTTCAGTTTAGGACCTTGGAACACTTCACCTTTAGTTTGGGTTGGTAAACTGAGGCACCACGAAGCAACCCACTACAACTCGAGCCAAACATGCCTAGCTGCTTTGCCTCACTCTGCAGAGTGACCCCTGCTTCGTCTCTTGCCACCGCGAGTGACCACGGACACTGACCTATGTTGGTAAGCTGGCCCTTTGCACTCAAGGACATGGAGAGCGCGGGAGGAGACGGCAGCTCTGCCTGGTCGTCGGATTCGGGGAGTCCACCGATAGTGTGGGAGTGCCGCCTCTCCTTGGTCTCCTCCTGGGACTGAAGCTGGTACCTGAGGAAGCAGCAGAGGAACTCATTCTGAGCTGCTACAAAGTGACACGAGAGGCTCCACTGTGTGTGGGATGCCTTGTCCCTTGAGAGCTCCGGACGGGCACAGAAGGGATGGATGAGGCCTTAGGACTTCCTCTCCACTCAGGGCTCTATGGCTCCATGTGCAGGCTTTCAGGGGACAGGCCCCCCCATCTAGCTGAGCAACGTAGTGCTAGCCTAACAGTGGGGGATCCACACTCCCTGTTCCTTGCCTACATGAGTGACCTCAGAAGTCCACTAGGAGGCGCTGCAATGAATCGAGGAGGGCCATAGGACAACATCGGTAAGTACACGGTTCCCGTATGCAAACTCATTTCTCCCTTGACAGCAAAGAACTCGCTATGAAAGCTAACACACTTGATGGCAGGTTTGCAGAGGGCTATGGGTGGCATTTTTACAGGACCACGTACAAACGATTGGCTACAAGGGCCACTAAATTCATGCGTGGGGCCTGGGTTAGCTTGGGCTGGCATTTTATTTTATTTATTTTGTCTCCTAAGTGCTGGGATTAAAGGTATGTACCACCCAGCTGATATTTCTTTTAACAGGCCAGGCGTCTTGAGTATATGGTAGAAAAAAAAACATATTTAAGGGTTACCTGAGTCCTTTCTTGGGGAGGGTGTTCCGATCCCGCTGATTGCTGTGGAGAGAGAGAGGGAGGGGCATGTGAGCCTGTCTTGGAAACTAGAGTGTGGGACCATAAGTTTGAGGGGTGTAGCCTCCAGAGACAGGACAGCAAGCTGTGAAAGTCTATCTCTATAAACAAATAATAAGATGGTCACAATCAAATTCTTGACTCAGAACTTGGGAAGTACTTGAAATGCTAAACGTTTCCCTCTTGTTCGGAGTTAAGGTGTAGTTAGCCGTTTAAAAGGCCGTACTACGGAAGGTGAGAACCAGGATGTGATGTGACAGAACTGATTTTGCACTTGGAAGCCAAAGCCAGATGAAATGAAACTAATACGAGATTTCTGAGATGTCATTAACTTTTTGTAAAGTTTTCCTTGTGCACAAGATGAGAACAAAACGAAAACACCCTATAGACCTCTGGGAGTTACAAAGGAATTAAGTTAACACATGGGAGAAAAAATACATCAAAAGTCACAACATGGTCATGGATGGACCCACTCATGGCCAGATGAGTCAGGCTCAGCTCTGTCTCCACCACATACCCGTCCAACTGTCCAGCTCTGGGGCTTCCACTCCAGGGCAGCTCTTCGGTCTCTTCCTCTGGTTGGGCAGCAGGAGCGGCAGGTGGGGTGGGGACGGGGGAACTGCTGGGGAAGGCACTGGGCAGGCTCATCGGCATCTGGAGGGACTCCATGCTCCTGTGCAGGCCTGAGAGTTTGGGGTACATGCGGGTCTCCTTCAGGACGCTGAAGCCACTCATGAGCTCCAGGCCCTGGGAGAAGCTGGCTGAGTTAATATTGAGGATGGGTGCCGGACTGGGGGTGAAGCAAGAGGGCAGAGCGCCCCCAGTGGACGAGCTTGGAGCATGCAGATCGGGGACCTTGGAAGCGTGGGTGTCGCTGGAAGATGGTAGATCCAGACTGTTGGAGTTGACCTTGTCTAGATTGGCTAGCGAGGGTGGCTTGACAAAGCTTTTAGCTGTGGCCCTGAGAGGAGTGAAGATAAAATAAAGTATTCAGAATAACAAATTATAGGACCACAGGCCATTCTTTCCCAGTTCCCCCTTTTTCCTGGCTGCCTGCTCAGCGAAAGGCTTACTCTGATGCTGCTGACAAACCAATTGGAAGAAGAGTCCACACCTGACTTATGACACCTTCAGTCATAAGGGAGACAACACATGCAATATGGGAAATGTGCAAATAAACCCAGCAAAACCATTCGCACAGGTGCTAAAGACAGTGTTGATGTGGAACAGCCGAAACAGAGTGAGTTACCAAAACCAGAGATGAAATAGCACCGAGGAGGGAGGAAGATCCCCACAAAGGCCCAGAGACAGCAACGGATAGGGCCATGCCACCTCTAGCCTAAGGCTGGAGAAGGAGAAAAGGAAAACATTGCCCAGTGTGGGTACCTGAGAGGGGTGGGTGGCAACTCTGCCAACTTGGTGGCTGGAGGGTGGCTTGCTTGGTTCTTAGGAGTGCTTTCTGGGGAGCCAATGCTCTTCAAGGAGATGTTGTCTGAGTCCAAGGCCACAGCCTTGGCTTTGGCCTTCTCCTTTTCCCGATCTGTCTGATTGACGGGAGCTGGCGTGGTCCTGCCACTGGCGACCTTGGAAGGTTCCTTCAGTCTGGAAGGTGTAAGGCCTCCCTGCTTGGTGCTGAGGAGGCTGGGGTCAATGCTGCTGCTAACGGGGCGAGGTCCGCCCCGCCCACCAGTCACACTCATCGAACTGGATTTGGCCGGCCTGGGCAGGCTGCGATACTGGATGTTGGACCGTGCTCCTGGAGCCAGGAACCCGGGCTCTGCACTGTTGGACACATCTAAACTCGTCTTGCGCCCGTTTACTGGCTTGACGGGGATGCCTGAGGATTTCTGGATCTTGCTGAGAGTGGCCGAGCCACCTGTCTGCATGACCGTAGCTGTGCCGGTGGCAGGGGGAGGCTTCTTATAGCCAAAGGATCCTGACGTCGAGGGGCGCGCGATGCCGGACGGGGGCTTCTTAGCATCACTCAGGCGGTCCCGGCCAGCGTCGGAAGAGGAGCGCTGCAACCCAGTGTTCTTCACTGTGAGCTTGCCTTTGTCTGTGGCTTTGCCTTCAGGCTTGCCTGAAAGGGGGCAGGAGACAGAGGAAGAGTTGCTATCATGATATCCTTATTTGTTTTTCAAGACAGGGTTTCTCTGTGTAGCCCTGGCTGTCCAGGACTCACTTTGTGTACCAGGCTGGCCTCGAAGTCATAGAAATGCTTGGATCAAAGGCATGTACACACACCACCCCTCCGGCCTATTATAATGTCTTAAAAACACCTTTCTTTCTCTCTAGGGGAAAAGGAACCACTGTCTATATATTATAAAAATTTAGAGGCCTAAATATGGGCAGACGATACTGGATAAGCGGATACAGTTTCTTGCCAGAGGGACTTTGGGAGGAAGTAGGATTTCATTTAGTTTGTTTTTATTGTTTTCTGTGGGATGGTTTATTTTGGTTAAAGTGGCAGAGGCCACCACAAAAATGATCAAGAAGGAAGTGTGTCTAATAACTGGGTAAGGAAGGACAAGAAGGAGGATGCAATGAGTTAGGTAAGAAAATGTCTAGACACTGGAGGGAAATGTTGATTAATCTCAAAGTGACCCAAGGAAGGGGTAAACCTTGGGAACAACACACTTCTCTTTCTTTTGTTTTTGTGGGTTTGTTTGTTTGTTTGTTTGGTTTTTGGAGAAAGGATTTCTCTGTGTAGCTCTGGCTGTCCTGGAACTCACTCTGTAGACCAACCAGGCTGGCCTCAAACTCAGAGATCCACCTGCCCCTGCCTCCTGAGTGCTGGGATGAAAGGCCTGTGCCACCACCGCCCGGCTCTGCTTCTTTTTCACAGCCATTTAACGTATTAGTCCAGTAGGACCTCCATTAGATGCTAAGAAGAATGCCTTGGGGGAGGAAACAAGGAACCAGTGGGGACCACGTGAAGGGAGGAACCTGCCTGTGAGTACACTCGCTCCCTCCTGTTCAGCCCGCCAGCTCTATGACTGTAGCTCAGGCACCTGACCCCTTTGAGTTAGTTTCCACCCTGGTAAAACTGAGACAGTAACACCCTTCTTTCCCAACTCACAGGACCGTCCTGAGGATCAGAAGAGATATCGCACGTTCAAGTGTTTCTGCAAATCTTTGCTATCATTCTATAGGTTCGTGACCCTTAAGGAAAAACCACTGAAGAAAGGTCTTCACCCTTGTCCTTTCCTTTATCCCAACTCACCTGCCACTTTGAGGGCACTCTGGGCTGTATGAGTGATCGGAGAGGTGACAGCCACTGGTGGGGTCTTGCCCTTCTTCAGGGACCCTGGATGTCCCAGGCTGATGGGCTTTTTCAGTTCTCCACCCTTGGATGCGTCCTCACAGCTTTCGGGTCGCTCTCTCCGCCACTTCGAAGTCCCCGGCTCCATCTTCAGGCTGCCGCTGTCGTACTCCAGTTTTTTGGGGGCCTTCTCCTCTGATTCGCTAAACCAGTTCAGCCCGCTTTCTGCCAGAGAGCGCTTCTCTGAGTCTGTGCGTAGCTAACGAGAAAAGGAAAGGGCCGCTTACACAGGGGTGGGAGAATGGTGGGGTGAAGGGCCTTGATTATCCCATGGTGGTAAGTCAACCAAGGATTCTCTCCATCGCTAGTATTCCAGAGAGAAGAGACTTTATCTATCTCTAGGGTACTTTTTCTTCTCCAATTGGAAAAACTCTCCTATGTATCAACTCTAAATAGGTACGAGTACAAAATGCAGTCACAACGACACCATTTTACGACATCTACACAGATCTCGCCCGGTTTGTTTTGTGGTTCACCCTGACCTGGTGGCCCACGTGTTTGCAAAATCACATACCACGATTGTAGAGCTCCTGCGGGAAGCCGTGGGAGTCGTGGGGAGGGAGTTGAGTGAGGAGCTGGCGTTGAACTCTTCCGAGCTGAGGTTGTCCGAGGCATCACTGAGGCCACTGCTGATGGAGCTGCTCTCGTCCCAGCTGCAGGACAGGAGGGGGACGGGTGAGGAGGGGGACGGATGAGGAGGGGGACGGGTGAGGAGGGGGACGGGTGAGCAGTTCAAACCAAAGCCAGTGCTAGAAACAGCACTTTATAGAGATGACCAACGGTTTTATACTCTTCTCCCGAAAGAAGACAGTTTGGGGTTAGTCCTGGGTTCACCAATAATTCAAAGTGTGACTTAAACATTCTTGTAATTTGGTGATATTTCTTTTATAAACAGAAGAATCAGTTGGTATTTAGCAAGAGCCCATGGTATATTTCCTTAGCAGGAAGCCAGGTCATGAAGACAAGGAGGGTCTGCTGAGATGGCTCATAGGTAAACTACTCGCTAGGCAGGCACACTTGCGTTCAATCACAAAGGTGGAAGGAGAGAACCGACCCCATAAAGTTGTCTTCTGACCTCCACACGTGCAGTGTGGCGGGAACACACCCCTACACATACCATTCACACACACAACAGCAATAAATAACACTAAAAAAGGGACAAGGCATTTTTAGATCCATCTAACTATGCAAAGCAACTCTGATGTAAACAGCTTCGGTCTTATAGTCTTGTAATTAGCTCATTTTTAGATGTGTTTTCCAGGCATCCCTGCACTTTCTAAAACTTTCCATACCTGGTAACAGAGGCCAGACAAAGGCCTCTCTGTCCTTTTTGCTGTGCTGGCGACTGAGCCCAGGTAAACTTCTCATTCCCCAGTTCTCGCTCCAACCCAGACTTCTCTTCTCTAGAACTTTCAGACCTGCCCCTTCTCATTGCTCCCCTGGAGTCAGGCTCTGCTCCTGAGTAGGACATCTGCTCTTCTGGTAGACCGCGAACCCTAGGGTGCTATGGCCAGAGAGAGGTGCCAGATTCCTGCTGAAAAACCATTCAGTTCATAGCTAATTTACCTATCAGATATAAGGTACTGAGGAGGGATGTGTCCAACATCTGTACTTAAAACATGTGTATTTGGAGACCCAGGCCTATATTCAAAATGAACTTACTACACCTTGATATCTTCATAGCTTAGCCATTACATCCTTCCCTCGGTTCATTGTTGTTGTTGTTGTTATTATTGTTTTGGTTCTGGTTTTTCAAGACAGGGTTTCCCTGTGTGGTGCTAACTGACCTGTATCTGACTCTGAACACCAGGCTGGTCTCGAACTCAGAGATCCGCCTGCCTCTGCCTACTGAGTGTGATTAAAGATGTGCGCTCCCGCTGCCTGGCCCTCTGTTCAGTTTTTAGGATTAACAAGTTGTAGTCAGGAACTTTATATTTTTATAGTAAATTATCTAAATGTCTAAACCAAACAGCAAGGTTTGTGTCCACCACCTTCTTGATCTATCATTATTCTGTTGGACCATATTCACTAGTGTGTGTATGCGTGTGTTACCAGGGACAGAAGTCAGAGACTCACACATACTAGGCATATGCCCTGCCACTGGACTCTATCCCCAACTAAGTAACTCTTCCTTCATTTCTCTTTCTCTTTTTCAAAATTTTGAGACACGATCTCACTAAGTTGCCCAAGTTAGCACTGAACTCACCATATAGCCCAGATATCCATCCTCCTGCCTCAGCCTCTTGAGTAGTTGGGATTATAGGCCTATGCTACCAGGCTCGTCAATGATCACTGTTTTCTAAGCTCAAAATCTGCCTCTTAGGACACTTCTTCAAAGGTTTTCTGTTCCAGGCCCTTCCTAAAATGACCTTTAGCCTTTATTTTGGCTCGTGATTCTCGAATTGAACACAAAGGTTCCATAAACTTGCTACATAGGACTGTCTGTTTGTGCCTTGGGAATTAACCTCTAAGTCATATCTGTTCAGAATGGGTTTATCAGCTTCGCATGTGTACTGAAAAGGCTGGAGACTTTCTGTGCGTGTGAATTTGTCGGTATTTGGAAAATGTTTCTTTTTTTTATTTATTTTGAGTTTCAGATCATGGAACAAAAATCAGACATAAAAGTCATTTATGAGTTGGCCTGGATTTCAGCTGGCTTCCCTCTAATTCATGTGCTGGGAATAAGAAAGTGGGTGGTTTGGCCATTTGGCTTGGCTGCTCTGTAACGATTTAGCCAAATACATTGAGAAACAGCAGAGAAAACATGGGGATTAGGACACATTGCAGAGTTATTTAGATTTTACTACTATTAAATAGAGCCGTTACTGAACGACCCCTGCGCCATATATTAAGTCTCCCTTTTTATCCAGGCTTGAGATACCACGCACCCCTTTTTGCAGAAAAAGGATACTGAGAAAAGATCAATGCTGATTTAATGATCCTATCAACTCTTATGGGCCCAGATAAGATCTCTGGCAGGCGAACAAACAAACTATTCACAGCATGTTCTCTTAGGTCAGAGAGAGAGGAAGCCTGGAGTACTGAATCTTTCATCTGAGATTAATTATTGGTAATCAAGGGCCTGCAGCAGGGACAGCCCTCTGTGGAAAGGGCTCTGCAAAAATGGGAGAGCTTGCTTCAGTCCAGGGATCCAGAATAAACCTTCGTTTACTGGCTATGGCAAGATCAATGCCAATAGGCAGCAAGGAGTTTCTTTCTTTAAAAACTCCTTTATTTTCTTGTTTATTTTATGTGTATGGGTGTTTTGTCTGCATGCATGTCTGCACAGTACATGCATGCATGGTGCTCACAGAATCCAGAAGAGGGTGTCAGATCTCTTGAGACTAGAGTTACCGACAGTTGTGAGCCGCCATGCAGGTGCTGGGGATTGACTCCAGGTTCTCTGGGAGAGCAGCCAGTGCTCTTAACCTCTGAGCCATCTCTCCAGCCCCGAATGTTTATTTTCTAGGAGAGAGTTCTGGCCCCGTTTTCCCAAAGCCATTCCTGCTGAGCTCTTTCCTACAATGAAACATAAAAACCTAAACTTTTTATACCAGAGAAGGCTAGCTAGGAGTTAAAAATTTCCCCAGCAAATTTGCAAGGTTGTGCAAAGGGAAATTCTGCTGTCATTCTCGAAGGCTTAAACATCTCTACTGGGGGTGCTCCACTGGAGGGAGCGTATTTCTTTAAAAAAAAAAAAAAATAGAAAAGTACTATGCAGAGTCAAATCCTGCATAAACAGAAGTGAAGAAGGAAAACTACTCTGTTCTCACTTTCAGGGTTACTTCTGTTAACTGTTTTGTGTGATTACTTCTATCTTGTGGCCATCTCTATCCTCTGCCAGTTAGCGGCACTGCGAGACCACACCTCTATACCCACTGACTTGATGCTTAACTTAAGCCGGGCTTCTCACCCACCTTGTTTGTTTGTTTGTTTGTTTGTTTGTTTGGTTTTGATTTTTCTTTACTGAGCTGTCTTGATGAAGCACCTCTTCCGCGAGGCTCCTAGGAGGGTCACATGTAGGGGTCAGTTCTCTCCTACCATGCTGCTTCTGCTGCCCGGCATTCTGCAGGCTGGCTGCTCCCTGGAGGGAGAGCCTTACAAGGGCTGGGTTTACAGAGGCGAGCTACGACCACGCCTGTCTTCTTGTCAGTTCTGGGGCCCAACTCAAGTCTTCACGCCACTGCGGCAGTGTTTTTACCCACAAGCCACCTCGCCAGCTCTTTTCTACTTTCTTCTCTTCTTGAGACAGTCTCACGTTGTCTAAGCTGGCCTTTACCTCACTGTGGAGCTGAGGATGACCATAAACTTCTCATCCTCCTGCCTCTGCCTCCCAAGTTTTGCTCTTGATTTTTATTTTTCAGTTCTCTTCTAAAAATGTCTTTTATACAAAGAATGGATTTTTAGGGAGATACTCTTGAGTTTCTTAAGTTTTTCTTAGTGCTACTTTGTCTGAAAAAAAAAAACCCCATAAATTTATCCTCTCTCAGACTTTTAATTTCTGTTATAATATTTTTAATTTCTAAAGGTTCTTTTTAAAACAACACGTCTTCTTTCTTTTATCTCTTCTCTTCCCTCAGCTCTCACAAACATTCTGAGAGCTCATTCACTCATCTGAAAGGGAGGTTTACAATCTTCTTTCACAGATTCTTACTTGGTTCTCTCTGCACTGGTCATCCCAAGTCAGCTTGGGCTACACAGTGAGCCTGACTTGGGCTTGGGTGGGGTGGGGTGGGGGGGCAGAAGGACTAGGACCAGAGAGAGCAGGGATAAGATACAACTGATGGGATTCTTCTAGACTTTCTCACGTGTCTAATGATGTGTGAGGTAGGACTTGCCATCTACGGCACGTATGGCCGTAAGGACGTAAGGATGTAAGGATGGTAGGTGTGGCTGGACTGATCACTTGAACTCTTTTCTCTTGGGTTGGCCAGGTTTTCTGGAGGTGACTCTTCCAAACCCCAGCGTGAGGGTCAGTTCCGTGGTCTGAACACTGAGTTGCAGAAGCAGTGTGGAGGTTTCAACATTCCCTATGCAAAGTCTCATTCATTCTGTCATGGCTTTGGTGCAGACTCTGTGCTGACCTGTGTTAGGAGTCCATACTCCAGAGACCCCGCTTTCCTCTATCCAGAGAAGATGTCTGCGGATGGAGGAGGGGACAGGAGAGTCCCTGCGGTTTCTGCACTTTTAACCAGTCTTGCTGCTGTTTCAGTCCTACTGCTAACTCCCCAAAGGTGACTACCGCTGTCACTTGCGGATGTCTGAGCGTTCTGGACTGCAAACGGCCGCGGCCAGCCCTCACTGCTGACTTAGGAGCCAGCTTCCAGGCTCACAGATCAGGTCCTACTTGTCGTTCTCTTTTTCAGGCCGCACACTCCCTTCACTGTTAGCTCCTCTTCTCTTTTTTACGGAGGGTCTTTTCCCATGTTTATGTGTGTGTGTGTGTGTGTGTGTGTGTGTGTGTGTGTGTGTGTGTGCGCTGGGAGAGGGACGTGTCGAATGCCACAGCTCATGTGTAGAGTTCAGAGGTCATCTTGTGGAGCTGCTTTTTTTCTCCTACCGTGTGGGTTCCGGGGATGGAACTCAGGTTGTCAGGCTTGGCAGCAAGCTCCGTTTCCTGCTGAGCCGTTTGGCCAGCCCTAGACAGGGTCTC